GTATCTTGAACTATTTTGCTTAATCTATTTCTCTTGGATGTTTGGGAGGTGGGAGTTACATTAAATAATGCCAGGCGTCCGTTTTATCTTTACCTAGCCCAAGAAAGACAGAAGGCTGCAGAGACTGCATCAGATAGGACTTGGGACTTAAAGAACTTAGAGTCTAGTCCTGGTTCACCAATAAGGAGAAGGTGAAAGTTTTTGAGTTCGTATTTTCTCAAATAAGGTGATAATAATAGGTAGAATTTTGAGGATTTAATGAGAAGTGGGAAATGCAGTTGAAATGTCACATTTCAGAACATAATATTTCAAGATGTTTTTTCATTAAAACACTTGCATGTAACTGGTTTTAATGTTTTTGAAGGTATTTGGTGAAGAGGGATTAACCCTGAATCTTGAAGATGTTCAGCCTCATGACTTAGGAAAAGTTGGAGAGGTCATCGTGACCAAAGATGATGCCATGCTCTTGAAAGGAAAAGGTGACAAAGCACAGATTGAAAAACGTATCCAAGAAATCATTGAGCAGTTAGACATCACAACTAGTGAATATGAAAAGGAAAAACTGAATGAACGTCTGGCAAAACTTTCGGATGGAGTAGCTGTACTTAAAGTAAGATGAATTATTTTGAGTAAGCTTCTTCGTTGTAAGCCCAAGAAGGATTTTGTTTATCTTGCATTTCCCAGTAGTGTTATGTATAAAAACAAATATTTGAAGATTATAACGTCATCATGAGGATACTTAATTACATAAAATATATTTTACTGAGTCATTTCTTTTTTAAAGTTGAACTTGGGGGTGGGGCTCTTTTCAATAGAGTTATTTTGTTATTGAGACCTGGAGGTTAGTCAGTCTCTAGTTTGCCTTTTGTGGAATTTTACATTGACCCTCTTAGTCACTAATCATACAGTCACTTTCAATAAATACATTCCTGGTGTGGATAAGCAACCCTTTTACAATATTGCTGTAACAAGTAAACTTTGAGGAATGTTACTTTGAATTTTTGGCAGCATTTTGGATGGGAAAGATCATACTAACTGAAATTCCTTGTAATTTTTAGGTTGGTGGGACAAGTGATGTGGAAGTGAATGAAAAGAAAGACAGAGTTACAGATGCCCTCAACGCAACACGAGCTGCTGTTGAAGAAGGCATTGTTCTTGGAGGGGGTTGTGCTCTGCTTCGGTGTATTCCAGCCTTGGACTCGATAACTCCAGCCAATGAAGATCAAAAAATTGGTATAGAAATTATTAAAAGAACACTCAAAATTCCTGCAATGACTATTGCCAAAAATGCAGGTGTTGAAGGATCATTGATAGTTGAAAAAATTATGCAGAGTTCTGCAGAAGTTGGTTACGATGCTATGCTTGGAGATTTTGTGAATATGGTAGAAAAAGGAATCATTGATCCAACTAAGGTAAATAATTGAACACATCTTAAAATTTTTCTCAACTGTTCAGTTTAAGATATGAAATTTTCATTAAATTTTGTTCCTATTTTATTGAAAGTCCTATTTTATCAAACTTTTTTTCTAGGTTGTAAGAACTGCTTTATTAGATGCTGCTGGAGTGGCCTCTTTGTTAACCACAGCAGAAGTTGTAGTCACAGAAATTCCTAAAGAAGAGAAGGACCCTGGCATGGGTGGAATGGGAGGAATGGGAGGTGGTATGGGAGGTGGCATGTTCTAATTCCTAGAATAGTGCTTTACCATTTATTAATGAACTGTGACAGGAAGCTCCAGGCAGTGTTCCTCACCAATAACTTCAGAGAAGTCGGTTGAAGAAAATGACTGAAGAAAAGGCTGGCTGATGTTTAAGAAAATCACTATAACCATTAGTTATGGTTTCAGTTGACAATATATAATGGTTTATTGCTGTCATTGTCCATGCCTACAGATAATTTATTTTGTATTTTTTGAATAAAAAGATATTTGTAC